GCGTCCGGAGCCTGTGCTCCGCAACGAGAGAGGCCACAACAGTGAGAGGCCCGCGCACCGCAAAAAAAAAAAAACAAAAAAAAAAACAGAGAGACCAATACAATGAAAGTTTAAGAAGTTATTCAACTCATTGTCCAGTGTTCACGCCTAGATGATACCATCCTACTCAGGCCAGCAGCACCAGTCTGTTCTTTGTACACAGGGGACACCAACTGGAACTGAGGTGGGCATCTGTCCTAGGAGGACCCATCCAAAGGCTTCCTGGTGACACATTAGGCATCTTAGAAAGAAAGCTCTGTCAATGGAGTAATGCTAATTAGCAAAGACAATAAAGCTGGCTCCTATTTAATTTGAGATAGAGAATAATCAATCAGGAAATTGACTAACTGGTAACAAGAGAAAAAGCAAACAGCAAAAAATATAAAGTGAGAGGACCACAAAGAGAGAGTAATAGAGTGGCAGGACCTGATTACTGCCCCAGAGCCTGACATCTGCAGGTGTGGCTTCAGACCACATGTATTCTCATAATAACTCCCTCCCTAGCACACATATATACGCACAGCACAACGCTCATGTGCACACACACACATACAAAATCAAACAACCTGAGTGTCTCAGTTTTTCTTAAACCCAAGCACCCAAAAATATATTTGTAAGAAGATAAAATAGGTCTCTGATTTGGAGCCCCAACAAACCTTTCACAATTTTTGAACACTCTGCCTCAAGAATTCTTGAATCCAGGCATCAAATTCATCACTTCCCAAAAGGCAACAGTACTCTCCTAGTTAACTGAAAGGTATGCGCGATGTGCCTTGTAACAGATTCAGGGAGTAGATGCCAAGTCTGACATAACAAGAATGGTTAAATAGCAAGATATAATAATGATACATAATGAAAAAATAAATAACCCTATATAAGGAGGACAAAGATGACAGATGATTTCAACAAAAATTCACTCAAGATACTACTAAAGAATATACAAAGTGTTTCACTTAGTTTGCAGATCATCAAGAAGCTTAATGTTCGTAAGATGCAAAGGTTGACAGTTTTTGCTCTAAAATCAACAATGAAAAAAGTGTGGTTTTCATGGAAAACGAAGAAAATGAATTGCTTCTAATCTGAAGAAACGTTAGCTCTGAGTCTTTCTCTTTCCCCAGGAGCACTTTGCTCTGGATCAACTCCCCTTTTCTCCTGGAGCCCTGTGAGATCACAGAACACATGTGACAAATGCTCAGTTGGTGGTCTGAACCATCTGTGGCCTTGGAACAGCTCTTCTCTGTGTCCGTTTAAGAATCAAACCTTCAACCTTGGCCTCTTTAGAAGAGTGTCAGATTTAGCCCACCAAACTAAGGAAAATGAAAAAAATTCAAACTTTTAGAAGTACATTTCTTTTATTCTCACAAGCATACAAACCTCTTAAAGGCCATTTGAGATGAGATATTTTTATAACCAGGTGACCAGAAAAGCACAAAGGACACACTAGGAACCCTTGGTTTCATACTGTGTGTGCAGCAGGGGCAGCTGGAGGAATAAAATCTTTGATGCATAAATTGATTGACCGGATGCAGAGAAAGGGTACCTCCACACTCCCTACTGTGACAAGTGGTTTTGTGATACAGACACTCGTCTGGGATTCAGACTCGAGTATGAGACTTTGCCCTGCCATTTGCTCACTGAGTGAGCTGAGCCAGTCACTAATCAATTCAGGCCTCAGTTTCCTCACAGATAAACTAATGAAATGAACTAGATCAGGGGTTGTTGCATTATGACCCATGAGCCAAATCTGGACCACCAACAATTTTTGTAAATAAAGCTTTTTTAGAATATAGCTACATTCATTCATTTCCGTATTGTCTATTGCTGTCTGGGATGAAAACAGGAATGTCACAGTTACAACAGAGACCATATGGCCTGATGCAAGGGAAATCACTTGTTTTCCTCTATGATTACACTCTACTCATGATACTTCTGACACAGATGTATAGGTTCTTCCCTCAAACCAAGCATTTCCCCAACTTTCTGTGGATACCATCTCTATGTCCTACAATTTAACTCAATTCTGACACTAACTGTCCAGAGTTGGCACAGATCCCACAGGTTAAGGTCTTGGTGCCACAAGACTGCCCCACACTTTAGATGAAAGCCTCACACTTTAATCAAAAGCTCAGGTTGTCACCTATGCTGACTGATGGGCTGTAAACTGGAGATTCTCACGACTCCCTCCTTAGCTTTGATCATTTGCTAGAGTAGCTCACAGATCTCAGGAAAACAGTTTGTTTACTAGATTACTGGTTTATTATAAAAGGATACAACTCAAGAACAGCCATATGGAAGAGGTGCATAGGGCAAGGTACGAGGGAAAGGGTACAGAGTTTCCTTGCCTTCTCCACGTGCACCCTCTTTCTGGCACCTCAATGTGTTCAGCAACATGGAAGTTCTCCAAACCCCAGGGTTCAGAGATTCTTATGGAGACTTCATCACAGGGAAAATAATCAATCATTAACTCAGTCTCCATCCTCTCTCCCCTCCCTGGAGGATAGGGGGATAAGGCTGAAATTTCTGAGTTTCTAATTATGGTCAGGTCTTGACCAGCCCCCAAACTGAAGCTATCCAGGAGCCCACCAAGAGCTGCCTCATTGGAAAAAATAATGCTCCTATCACCCACAATATTCTAAGGAATTCAGGAACTCTGCATCAAGAGCCAGGGTTAAAGACCAAATATAAGAACAAAAGATGTTCCTAGCACCATCACTGCTTTGTAAATTACAAAAATTTTAGGCGCTCCAGCCGGGAATTGGAATGAAGACCAAAATACATATTTCTCACTACACCACAATAACATACTTGCAGAAGTGAAAATACTTATTGTGCAATCTTTTACAGAGAAAGTTTGCCTACTTCTGAACTAGATAATTTCTAAGATCCCTTTCTAATCTAAAATCTGTAATTGGTTGACTCAGTTATTAAAGAATTGCTTCTTGGGACTTCCGTAGTGGTGCTCCCAATGCAGGGGGCCTGGGTTTACCCCTGGTCAAGGAACTAGATCCCACATGCATGCTGTCACTAAGAGTTCACATGCCACAACTAAGGAGCCCTCGAGCTGCAACTAAGCAGCCCACATTCTGCAACTAAGGAGCAGGTGAGCCAGAACTAAGGAGCCGGTGAGCCAGAACTAAGGAGCCTGTGAGTCGTAACTAAGGAGCCCGTCTGCCACAACTAAGACCCAGCGCAACCAAATAAATGTTAAAAAAAAAAAATTGCTTCTCTCTAAACACCTTAAAAATGGAATTTATACTCCATTCATTAAACTCAGAAACTCCCACTCTAAAAACGAAACAAATGAAAGAAAGCAAACACACACACACACACACACACACAACACACACACACACACACACACACACACACACACACACACACACAGGGTATGAAATTCAAGGCTCATTCTTTTAGAGGTGGATTTTTAAAAATATGAGATCATACTATAGTTTCTTTTTTTTTAAAGCCAATACACTAATAATATGAGTGTAAATCAATTTGCAAAGTGTTGCCTCTAAAATATAAAAAGCTTAAAGGTAAATGATGCTTGAGAAAAAACAGGTTTTCTCGTAACCCGAGTTAACAAAATGATTCAAATGGAGTAAGTGTAATAAAGTCCCTAAGGGCTGCTCATCCATAATAAGATTTTTAGGGGCCAGCAACAGAGAAGCCAATTTGGATTTGGGTTGGGGTCCGTAATAGTCAAGGAACTAGAAATTTTCTTGCCTTATTTTTAGACCTTTGTTTGTGGTGGGCTAGAGTCAGTTATCTACCCAGAAGGAAAACATATGGTACTCACTGGATGAAAAAGCCTGAGAAAACCCATCCTCTCTCTGCAAGTTTAATTATCTGGGGCAAACCATCAACCTCTGGATATTGTGAAATGCAATTCAGGATCTCAGAGATAATTCTGTCATTGCAATGACCTGCCTGACTTTCGTCACACAAATCTCATTTCCCAC